TCTGAGCTCCTTTACTGCTGAGGCCTCTTCAGTACCTGTTTCCCTCCTTCCTTTCCTCCCTCCCTCCCTTCCTTCCCCATTTCCTTCCTTCTTTTCTCCTTTTCACAAACTGTTGTGAGTGCCTATGCTGTACACAGCTCTGATAGGTGGTGGGACAGAAACTAGACAAATAGCATACAATCCTCGGTCTTAAGACATTTGAGCCCAACATGGGAGTCAATATAGGAACATAGATAACTGTAACATAAGCCAGAGCAGAATGGACAGTGTAAGCGAAGTAGAAACAAGGTCCAGTAGAGAAGGAAGAGGTCTTTCACACGGGAGACGTATGTAGAATGGGTAGGATTTTGACTTGGAAAGAGTTGGATAGGAAGGAGGACATTCTGACTGAAATGAGAAAGCTAAACAAAACGATCAGGCAGTTTGACTGGAATGTAGGTTGGAATTCTGTCTGGAGAGGCACGTTGAGGCTAGAGCATAGATTGTTCTATAGGCAAGGCTGAGAGGTCTGGACTTCGTAAAATAACAGGAAAACTGTGAAGATATTTGAGCTGGTAGATATTATGGTCAGAACCATCTTTTAGAACAATTAATCTGTAAGTGGAGTGTAGAATGGGTTGGAAGGAGGAAGCTGAGGTGGAGAGAGCAGACAGAAACCTAGGTGGATAGCTCGGGTGGGAGGTGGTAAAGGTCTGGGCTAGGTGGATAGTGGTGGGAATTGGAAGGAGGCTAATGGATAAAAGAGATCTTGGGGAACTAGCATCTGGTGACTCATTGATGTGGGATTGAGGAGGTCAGGGTGACTGGAATTTCAGCTAGGGTGTGATGAATAGAGGTCGGGGGAGAGGCTATTGGGGAGGGCCGGGTGATGCTGTTTAGAGAAAGCCTGAAGGCTTATCTTTTTTATTTTTCAAAGTGTGGGTGTTGGTTGCACCTGCCTGTGGGCTTCCTGCGGCGCCCTGTGTCTGATGATATCCTGTTACTGATGTCATCGGGTGACTCCATCTACGTGCACATCTTTAGAAGATAAGCACCATAGGTGGCAAAATGTGGCAGACCAGAAAAAAAAAAATGGTGGTTTAAAGATGCTTCTTAGATCCTTACACTTCTGAGGCCTTCGACTGGGTCGAAGCAAGCACCCTTGCTTCCAGAACTTTACTCCTATAATATTATAAGAGTTGCTTTGCTGAGTGTTCTGGTCTACCTTTGAATGTCCAACTTTGGTTCCTGAGTGAGGCTCAAGGCTGGCCCTAGATATAATTTGCTATAGGCAGAATTTATCTTCAGATCCACTTTCTCTTTTTTTCTCGGCCTCAGATCACTTTTCTGGCTCTTTGGTTATGCATTGGTGGCTCCTTTCAAACACTGTTATTCCACGATTGGATTCTTTGGGGTATATTTACTGTTCGGGAGCAAGTGAGTGCAGGTGGACAGGCCACCAGGCTTTGCCCCTGACAGTGTGGCACGTGCTGGTTCCCGATCTTTGGGCAGTGGACCCCCAGGGAAGTTATTGTAAAAGGTCGAAATATTCCCAAGTCCCAAATCTTGCTTCAGACAGAATAATGAGCTGCAGCTTTTCAAAAGACACGTGGATGCTGTTGTGATGAATAAAATACCAAATTTATTTGAACGTGTCTTTTTTTTTTTTTTTTTTTGCGGTACGCGGGCCTCTCACTGTTGTGGCCTCTCCCGTGGCGGAGCACAGGCTCTGGACGCACAGGCTCAGCGGCCATGATGGCTCACGGGCCCAGCTGCTCCGCGGCATGTGGGATCTTCGCGGACCGGGGCACGAACCCGTGTCCCCTGCATCGGCAGGCGGACTCTCAACCACTGCGCCACCAGGGAAGCCCTGAACGTGTCGTGAATTCATAATTTTGTTTGTATGGGGACTTGTGTGTGTAGTTAAGCATGTTTTTCATCAGCAGACACTAATGGCTTGACCAGCTTTCCTCTGGTGGTTCATGAAACTTTGTGGTTGTTAAAAGTGATCTTCTGGTTTGGCCGAGAAAAGGCAGCCTGGAGGGAGCAGAGTTTTTGTCTGTACCTGGAGCTACCGCGGCTCGGGCTGCCAGGGAGAGAGCTTGGGAAATAAGCAGAGTGGAATGGGATGAAAAGAAGGTTTGTCTGTACACCACTACCACTCGGCTTGCAGCAGGGAGCTACCAACCAAGAACCAGCCAAGTAAGAAGGCTGTTATTTGGGAGGCAGCTTCCAGGTCCTGGAAACCTACCTTCCCATCCTGGGCAGGAATCTCTCCCTGATGGAACCTCCTGGAAGGGTGAACATCTAGTTCTGCCCAGGCCCCTACCCAACAGGTACTACTACTAGGTACTAATTCGACTACTAGGTAAGTTTATTAGGACCACTACTATGTAAAAATCAGATCTTTGGGCCTCAACCATGGTGTTTCTGATTCAGTAGGACTGAGGCGGGGCCTCAGTGTTTGTATTTTTAAAAAATGCTCTAGGTGATTCTGATGTCAGCCAGAGTCGAGACAGAAGACTACTAACAAAGGACACAAATACCCTGTTATAAGGCTTTTTGTTTGTGAAGTGTTCACTAATGCATGAACAGCGTCATGGTGAGGCTTCTGCGGTTCTTTTTTTTATGTGCCTCTTCTTACTTCTCACACCCGCCCTGGTAGATAGATCCCTATTTCAAAAAACGGATGAATTAGGGCCCAGGGAAGTGAAACCAATGTGCTGGCTGGGGAGTGACAGTTGGAACCCCAGTGTACAGATGAAACCGGGAACCCTGGGTGTGACGAGCTCTTGAGGAGGGATAAACAGTTGTGACTTTGAGCCTACAACTGAGATTGGCAAACATAAAGCAGGCACCAGCCCAATGGAGGGGACCGATGCTGCTAAAATCAGGGGAGGGGAAGTGCTCTTTAAGAAGGTTCTGACACGCCCAATTCTTCCATCCATCCAGCCCTACCTTGGGCAAAGGAGCGGAATCAGTTTAAGAGCTGGGGCTCTGGAGCTAAATGATTTGGGTTTACTAACCGAGAGGCTTTGGGCAAATAGCTGGATGTTTTAGGGCCTCGGTTTCCTCATCAAAATGATGATAATGCAAAGTGGTGCCTACCTCTTGCCACGAGTCCAGCCGTCAACATCAATGTTTATGGCACACCTGGCCTGTGCTGGTCCAGGGCTGAGGATACCACTCTCTAGAAGCCGATAGAAGCCCATGTCAAGGATGCAGGGGAAGGAGAAGGGCATCAGAAGCTCACATCATTCTTCACGTGAAGGAGTGTAGGACCAGGGAAGCCAGATGTCTGCATGCTCTCTCTTGCACCCCATAGCTGGGGGTGCCTCACTGGGTTCCTCCAGAGGCTGGTGGTGAGCAGGAAGATGGCAGCCACTGTTTCTTATGGCTGCTCCAGTGTGTGACTGACGAAGCGCTGCCTCCAATGCATCAGCTCCCCTCCCATGTCTCCTGCCTGGTGCCTGAGGAGTGAACCTCTCATTAGGAGAGACTCTTCTTTTGGTGACATGGATCCCAAAGATCACTGGGACTTAGGTTGTTTAAGATGTCACTTAGAAGTTCAAATCTGCTCCCAGATGGGCCCCAAGAGAGGAATGGCTCCTCTATCGAGGCCAATCATGTGATGTGTCCTCATCTACATGTGGCCTTGCTGCCTTGCGTGCAGTGACATCTCAGCCCACAGAACTGTTAAGGTCTCTAAGCCTATAACCTCCAGGTGACCTTCCCCAGGGGAGTAGCAGAACTGTTATGAGCCTGTTCAAGGCTCTTCCTTAGAGATGAGTCAGACTTTTCTACCTAGTCTGCTCTAGGTTGGAGTCGATGCCACCAGCAACAGTCCAGGACTGCCTAGCAGCTAGGCGTACATAGGAATACACCTCCTCTCTCCTCCAGCCTTGCATTTTCCTGGCATTTCCTCCAAGTTAACATCTTGCTAGAACGGTGGAAGTTGACATAGAATGTCAGCTGTGTTCTATGTAATATTATGTTACTCACAAGGTAACATTTCAGCCTTGTATGTGAGGGAGGGGCATATTTAATATCCCTAATCCCATTGTATTTTAGGACCCTTTGTTCCTCCTTCACACCCCATTCTCAGGCAAACTCTTTTGCTCCTTGATTTTGATAACCCTGTGGATGGGCCATCAGAGAGCAGAAACTGAGCCCTCTCTGCTCTTGATAATTATAGTTCTTCTTCTCGGAACTCCTTTCTTTTTGTAAATGCGTACCAGGTGCCCCCGAGTAAAAGGTGATACTCTGTCTGTTTGGTAAAGGCATCCAGATAAGAGCAGCTGAAACCATCAGTTCCCCACAGAGACGCAGTTTCCTCGGCCCCTGTCACCACATTAAATGTTCACTCCAGCTCACTGGCTGAAATGAGTCAGTGGTCCTTTCAGAATTCCCTTTAGCACAGGGTTTCAAAAAAATCTGTGATTGAGATTGTGATTCATTTTTTTCTTCACTGCAGCTGACTATTTGCATTCTCCTAAGGTGAAACTTGGCCTGTCTTTTCAGGTGTTGAGAAAGAGACAACAAAGCTGAGAAGGGGGGAAAACCCCAGCTACCAAAGGAAAGCCTGAGAGCTTTCTTTCCAAGTGTATGAAAAATGCTTCTCAAAATCAGATTCTAAAACTGAGCTGAGTGGTTTGCTGTGTGCAGCTTTCTCCTGGCTTGGATTTTCTCTAATTCTTCTCTTTTTAAAGGGCAACACATCTTCCTTCTGGTTGCCGTCATCCACTCAGCCTCCCTGACCTCCCAGAGTCTGGCCTCATCTGACCTACCCAGCAGCACCTTCCTGGCCTCTTCATCAAAGGTGCCTACTCCATCCCTGGGGTCTCCTCACTGACTTCTCACCAGCCCAGGTGGTGGTAACTTTTCTATGGGGATGGTGTTATCCACCCATTTCTGGACCCCCTTCTGCATTGATTCAAATCCTTCCCATTTTAGAGCCCATCTCCAATCCCACTTGACGGCTAAAAGGTTCTCAGTTGACATTCAGCTCTTTTCTTCCCCAGATGTTTACTGAGCACCAACTATGTTCCAGGCACTAGACATGGGAATACCCATGGCCAACCAGGAACCTGTCCTCACAAGGCTCACAGGAACCCAGACAAGTGCACAGGCACTTTAGAGTCCAACGTGAACCAAACCCAGGAAGGCTTCCTGAGAGAGGCGACCTCAAAATGAAGACAAAACCAGTAAGTTAACAAAGTGAAGGGAGTAAAGAGGGAGAGCATTTCGCTTTTTTTGTATGAGATGCTGTTAAGCATTTTGCACCCTACTTTGCATTCATTTGTATTGTTTCTATGCCTAATGTGTACATGTTGTTACCTTCAAGATATTGTGACTTCTTGAGGGCAAGAGTCTATGGTACATTTCCACTTATCCTTCCTGGGGCTTAGCACAGTGCTGAATATTTTGCAAGGAAGGAAAATAGCATATATTATGCCTGCTTTGTACCCACCAAGTTGTGTGCAAGTGGTGTTTCAGTTACTACGTTACTGAAAGGAATTGGAGTAGTATGTCTACGGCAACACCTGCAGCCTGGAAATCAGGAGGCTGAGTAGTTGTGTGACTTTGGGTGAATCTCTAAATTTCCTCTGGGCCTGGATTTCTTCATCTGTGGAATGAAGGGATTCCACTACAGAGTCTTCCAGTTCTGTGATCTGCTTTTGCCTGTGGCTGCGTAGGGCCATCTGGTTTTCGTTGAACCGGTAGGAAGACAACGGCAGAAGACGGTTCAGGGGTTAAGTCAGGAAACCCAACGTGGAAATGAGACTGCAACCCCAAATGCTTCAGTGCTAGACCAGCTGGAGACCAAGGAAAGGATGCTCCTGAGAAATGACCCCAGCACGGGCCTATCGCCTCCCTCCTCTTCTCTGTGCCTGGTGCCTGACGTGCTCAGTGCGAGCTGCCAACCAGGGAGGAAGAGTGCTCGCATGGGCTTTGTTCTGAGGGGCCAGTGGAGCATCAACACCTGCAGTCTTGTAACCTAGACTACAGAAATAGCAAGTGGGTGCGCAGAAGGTAAGTTGATGAGATAGACAGCGCTAGGTACAGACGCTTACAGCCGAGCTTTGGTGCTAAAAACACCTAGTTCAGGACATCATGTACTAATTCAAGGGGTGGCCCCCCTTCTCTCTCTCTCAAACTTTTCAAAACAGGAAGAAAGTTTTGTTAACTGCAGATACCAATAACCCATGTCCTTCTAGAGAGATCTTTCTGGAAGCCATCCAAGACAGCTACCATCACTAAGGGGATGCTAATCACTTTTTTTTTCCCTCCTTTTTTTTTTTTTTCCTCTTTACTCTGAACTTCTGGTAGCGTTTGGAAGGTTGGCACAAGGCCATCTGAAACCACAGTGAGGTGTTAGGTAATCATGTTCTCATTAAAATGCTGCTCTGTGGTTTAATTTTCAACGGTTTTTCTGCAGCTTGGAAACACACATACTATATTTTGAGGCAAAGAGAGACTTTGTTTACAGGCAAAAAGGCGGGAAGATGGGCAGCCCATAAGATACTTCCTTGTGTGTTTCCAGAAAAGAAGCAGCCTCTGTCATTCCAGAGAAGGCAAACTGAGCATTAGTGGAGCACTCCTGGGGCTTTCTAGAGATTGATGATATTTAATTGACCCTGGGGACAAATATCTTAAAAACATCCTATGACAGGTCAGATTGAAAGTATCAAGTAGTATCTATTCATGACCATTTGTCCACTTAGTCACTGAGTTGAGCACTTTTATTGAATGTCTACCAAATACCAGGCACTGGATTAGGCCCTAAGGACGGGGAGATAGAAGCCACTGCCCACCACCAGTTGGGGTGGCAGGGAGTAATTGGGCATGCACTACAGTGGGATGAGCGAGCCCTGTCTCTTCTCATCCCCACCTCTGAGGATTTCCCACTTGGGGCTCTTTGAATTTTATCAGTGAAGACAGCGAACTAAAGCCCAGGGTTATCATTTTCTTTTTAAAAAAGACGATAATAAAGCCCCCAAGTGCTCCCATTAGACAATCTTCTAGGAAGTGCCTCCGACCAGCTGGGCTCTGTGACTGTGACAGGTCCTTGACTCAGCCACTCCGGCTCTGCTGTTTGCACATTCCCAGCAGTAGGATCTTGGCTTCCTTCCTACTTCGTCCATTTGACTCTCGGCTTCCCCGAGGCCTTACAGAAACTGGGCTGGTCCCTGTCATATCCTTTCAGAGACACAGACAGAAAAGCACCTGAGTCGCTGTGCACATAAGATGATGGCCCCAGGTAAACTGACTAAATTCAGCCCCAGGTAAACTGGACAGACCAATTCGACTCCAGGTCTAATTTGAGCACTTCAGACCAGACCTCTTCTGGTAATAATAGGTAAAAATTCTACCTGTTGCAGAAATGGGTGAAAAAGAAATTCATCTTTGGACCTTTTTTTCCCCTCCAACTTTCTTCCTTTTTCTTTCCCATCTGTCCTCACTCTTAGAGCCCTTTCTCTTTCTCTCTTTGGTTTGACCGTGTTATTGTATGTGTATTAATGGAGAAATTTGCATAGTTACTTTTGGCATTTACTTTGAGGGATTCAGGTTTTCACAAAGCACTTACCACAGGTTGAAATTTAGAAGTGCCTTGTTTTTCCTCTTTCAACCATTAAATACTTGACTGAATTGAGACATTCAAGCAGGGGTCTTTAAAAACATTTAAAAATCATTGTGAAGGCTTTAGATTTAACTAAAACCCCTCTCACTGGTGAACGTTTTTGTGGCAAGTCAAATTTGCGACACTTCACTGGAGGTATTTTATATGCCCCAAAAGGTGAGTGTAGAGTGCACTGGACTGATTTCATGTTAGTTTCTCAAAACATTGACATTAAAGCAGGTAAAAATCGGTGTGGTTTTCTTCGTGGGGCGTTTCACTTTGACTTTCAACCCTGTGTCTGAGGGTTTGATGAACCAGAAATGCAAAGTGAAACTTAGGAGTGTGAGTACATATCATGGCACACAGACTTCTATGAATGGGAGCTGAGTTCCTGTTGAGTTTCTTATCAACATTTACTGTTTGTGAGATGTTACCCTCTACTCTTCATAGAAAATATGGTCCTTTGCCTTGAAGGAACTTACTTTAAAATAGATGTATTGTCAGTCAACCATATAGCAAGATATTTTCTAGTTATTCTCTTCAAAGTTTCATGCTCTTATGGACTATTTTATTTAAACCAGAGGTGCCATCTTCGGAGAGTGGGTTGCAAGACCTTCCTGGCCCCTGTCATCTGGAAGATTAGAGGAAAGGGATTGTGAAAGGCGAGTGCTCTGCCTAACATCATTACCACATTTGGATAAAGTGCCCCTCTGCCCACAGCCTCCCCCTTACTGCTCCCCAACCTCCTTTGGCTGTGGCAGCTCTGGAAAGCAATGGAAAGGACAGAAAATGTGGAAGAGCAGCCTTGAGCCACTGAAAATGCATTTTTTTCTGTCTTCCCACTTTTGACTGCTCAGGCTCAAGGAAATCAGTAAAATAACATAAAGGAAGCGCACCCAGCGTATTGCTCTTGCTTGTACGTTTAACGTCTCGAAGGCTGAATGCACTCAGACTCCTGAAAGTTTTGTGTAAAAAGTGGAAAATGTACAGAACTGTTTTCCTAATAGTTTAACAAGATTTAGTGTTCAAGGTGGATGTATGGGTGTTTGCCTGTGAAATGAAGGTGGCTCTTAGGTCCTGGAATCCCATTGAGTACCTGAGTTGGAAAGGGGCTCCATCAAACCTCTCCCCTCCCCTCAACTGCTTGCTTATAGTTGTTAAAGTTTAGCCCAGGAGGGATGAAAATCAGCGATCGAATGGCAAGGTGCTATTGTGCCGTCTCTGTGAGAGAGTTTACACATGCTCAGATTTTCAGACGTGATTGACAGAGGAGTGTGTGTGAATCAAACCCCTTGTTCTGTTTTGCAGTCACAAAGAACCCTTTCCCTTTGAAACCCAAGAAGGTCTCCTTCTTCGGACCTGTGGAGGGAATTAGGTAGCAAATAACCATGAATATTTTTTAAAAATCCATTAAAAGTTTAATTGATGGAGCATTTATGGAGCATTTAGGAATTTTGGGATGGCTTTCTTAACCTACCTTCCAAATGCAGCCACCTAATACTAATACTAAGAGGTATATTTTCTTCTTGAAATCCTCCAATCTGACCTTGGTTATAATTTAAACTTTAAATACATGTATTTTTATCTAATTAGATGATATTAAGAGAAAACTGACCCAACGATCAAAAGCTTTCTTTCTTTCTTTGCTTGATAATAATTCAGGGCAGAATCCTATATAGAGATTAGTGATCCTGTGGAACAAAGATTTTGTGTTTGGCTTTCAGAAATGGTTGTGCAAATATTCAGTCTGAAAGCCCTTTTAATGGCCAAAGATGGAGGAATTGACAATTGGGAAAGGCCAGGTGGACCTGAGCTGGGATGAGTGGTTTCTTGGCCGAGAGCCGATTTCTCATGATGAAAGCTGGGAAAATTCGCTCAGGGAGAGTAATCCAATGATATGAAAGGATTAGGCAGGCTTACATTTAGCAAAGTGTAAACCATGAACCTGAATGGTGCACCTCTTCCCCATACAGACAGCTGCTTTGCTTGTAAAACTGTAAAAACCAAAATTGAATAAGAGGAGAAACTAAACAGAGAGAGTGTGAAGAAAGAAGCACCGGGTGTTTCAAAATAATATTGCATGCATACAAACTGAGTTTGCCGGCAGTTAAGTCCTGGTCAGCGCTAACAGAAGACTCATCTCAGCAGAGAACAGCTCCTCAACGACAGACGGAAACTTCTACCACCTTGAACCTGCACAGACTCCAACTTCACCTTCCACCTCTTGCTCCTACTGGTCCAGCCACTTAATTATTTCACCTCGGAATACTTAGCTATTAGTGACACTAATTAACACCTGCCTTGCCCTTAGATATATTATGAAGCTGTTTGTAAAATGCTGTGAAAGCAGATTGTTCCAAGAGCTATTAATTCTGGTAAAGGCCGTGTCAGCTTCAGTTACGTGCTCATAAATGCAAACCCAACTGGTCAGTAATCTCCAGGGATGGTCTAAATTGCACAGCTGGCTTTTTAGAAAATGTGTGTGGAGGAACATGTAAAGAATGCTGAAAATGCCTAAGTAAGGTTAGATAATAAATGGAATTGTACTGGGCAGGGGGAGGCCAGAACAAA